GAAAGAAAAGAATTGATAATTCTCATATCTCTGAGTTCATGTTACAATCACAATGTATACTCTGAATGAGAAGATATCAGTGAGATGCCTACTCAACTTCAGAGTGAATATCAACTTCATATTCTATTTCTTTTCTTTGATGAAGAATTGAAAGAAGATAGATTCATCAGATCATGTAAAATTTACTGATGAAATGAAATGTCATCATTTTGACATAATTCAAGTGAAGTGTGTGATCACAGACTTAGAAGAAATCTTCAAGAAGAGCAGTCTGCTTCTTTATACAGTTAACATCATAGATGAGAATGTCATTCTAGATCTCTTATGATTGAGAGAAAACAATTCTCTTATTGACTGAGTTACTCAGATGTGGCAGTACTGCCTCACTGATGAAGAGACAGTGATAGAGAAATCTGAAGAGTTTCATCAGAAGAATCTTGAGAAAAAGATTGAGTCAATATACTATATAGCAGGTGATTGAGACTTGAAAATAGATGAAGAAGTCATCACTCTCACTGCAAGATTAGCAGCAGTATTCATTATTGAAGATGAACATATACAACATCTCTTTACAGATTTTAAGAATGTCTTTTTGAAAAGAGAAGCAGTGAAGTTTCCTGACATTAAGATATGATATAAGATTCATCTTAAAGACAGTGCAACAGTGCTGTACAGGCCTCTTTATAACTTGTCTGTAAAGGAGTTGAATGTTCTGTGCAAATATCTTAAAGAAGTGTAATCAAAGAACTGAATACATTCATCAAAGAGTTCAGCAGAGGCATCTATACTCTTTATACTCAAGAAGAATAATAGACTACATCTATGCATAGACTACAGAGGCCTCAATAAGATGATAGTTAAGAATTACTATTCATTACTGTTAATCAATGAGATGATTGATCAATTATCTAAAGCAAAGATGTTCTTGAAGATTGATATATAAGATGTCTATCATAGAATCAGAGTTAATGAAGATGACATTTGAAAAACAGCTTTTCATATCAAGTACAGCAATTTTGAATATCTTGTTTTATCTTTTAATCTTTATAACACTTCAGTCACCTTCCAGGCCTATATAAATGAGGCACTGTGAGGCCTTGTTGATATCTCCTGCATAGTATATCTGGACAACATTTTAATCTTCTCAAAATCAGAGAAAGAATATGATACCCATGTTCAAGAAGTGTTGAGTTGCTTGAGACAGCATCAACTCTATATAAACACTGAAAAATGCTCATTCTACATGCAGGAGATTAATTTCTTAGGTTATATTGTTGAGATGAATGACATTTCAATGAACAGAAGCCAGGTCTCTGTCATTGAGAACTGGCTGATGCTGTGAACATACCGCGAGATACAGATGTTTCTAGAATTTGTGAATTTCTACAGATGATTCATCTATACATATTCACAGATTACTGCCCTTCTTACAGATCTGTTAAAGAGAAGTGTGAAAGACAGAAAAACAGAATCATTTATTCTCACTCAAGGCATCACTCAGGCATTTGCAGAATTGAAACAAGCTTTCACAGATGTCATAATGCTGAATCACTTTAATTCTGATTTACTCAGTCAGTGTGAGACTGATGTATTCAGGAATGAAATCTGTGAAATCTTTTCACAGTTGACACTGAAGGCCTTTCAATATTGAAAGAATCAGAGAATAATCACTTCTGAGAAAACAGGCAATGAATTATCTGTAAGAGAAGGCTTTTTCACAGAGTCTATAAGACACTGTGAATGAAGATCAGTGACTTTCTTCTTTAAGAAGTTATCACTCATGCAGAGAAGGTATGATACTTATAATCAGAAGATATTAGTAATTATTGAATTCTTTAAGATCTGATGACATTATCTTCAGAATAGTAAGTACTCAGTGTAAGTTCTCACTGATTATGCAAATCTACATTACTTCTTGACAACAAAGAGCTTGACAGAATATCAAGCCAGGTGAGCAGAGCTGCTTTCAGAGTATGATTTCTACATCTGATATCATCCAGGTCAGCTTAACCCCACTGACACGCTGTCTAGGCGGCCTGATTATAATATCATTGATGCAGAGAAGGATTCTACAAAAGAATCTCTGTCATCACTGCAGAAGAAGCTGGCTGCAGGGGATTGAAGTTCTCTAAAGCTCAGAAACAGTGCTGAAGAGACAGCTGCACAACTCAGTATAGAAGATGAAAGAGAACTCAGGTTTCTGTGAGAGACTGACACTGAAGATTATGAGCTTCTTATATCATATCTTACAATTATTGAATTGACAAAGAATGAAACAGTCTACAATCTTTTAACTCAACTACTTTTGAAATTCATTGAAGAGTTATAGAAGAGAGATGCCTCTACTGCAGCTTGAATTCAAAAGTTAAAGAAGAAAGAATCTGATTTGAACTTGAAAGAAACAGACTCTGAGCAGAGTAATACTGCTAAGAAATCAAGTCACTGATAACTAGAAGAATGTGAACTTCTACTGCTGAATAATTTAGTCTTCATCTCTTATAACAGGGCGGTGTATCAGAAGTTATTAAGAATTCATCATAATAATCCTCATACAGGGCACTTCAGGTTAGAGAAGACTGAGAAGCTTCTAAAATGTAAATACACTTAGAACAAGCTTCAGACAGATGTCAAAGAGTATATTGAAACTTACAATGTCTGTCAAAGAATAAAGGTCTCACAGCATAAGCAATACAGTGAGTTGACATCACTGCCTGTTTCAAAGAGCTCATGACAGAATCTATTGATGAATTTCATAGTTGACCTGCTGAAATCAACAAGAGTCAAAGAATATGACTCAATTTTGATCATTATTAATCACTTCATGAAGATGACCAGATATATCTCTACTTATAAAAAGATTAAAGTCTCTGAATTGACTGATCTGTTTTTAGATACTATCATTCATGATCACAGTGCTTCAAAATTGTTGATAACAGATTGAGAATCTCTCTTCATCAGTAAATACTGATCAGCTTTTTACTATCATCTTATAATAAGGTGTCTTCTCAGTACTGCATTTCATTCACAGACTGATGGTCAGACTGAATATCAGAATCAGACACTAGAACAGCATCTTTGAGTATTCTATTCATATTATCAGAATGATTGACTCAAACATCTTCTGATCACTGAATTCATATATAACAATGCAAAGAATGCAATCTTAAAGATATCTTCTTTCTATACTTATTATGAATATAATTCTTCATTACTCAGTGATGTTGTGAACAACATTTCAAAGAGAGAAATAGACAGTCAGAATGTCAGACAGATACAGAGAATGAAGTATCTCTCAGTGTTAGAAGTAAAAGTGAGATTGAAACTTTTAAATAAAATTTATAAGAAGATGATGAAAAGCATTCACTGCATTCAGAAGCAGCAGATAAAATACTATAATTAAAAACATCTTCTAATGAAGTTCTTGATAGAGAATTAAGTGCTACTTTCAGCAAAGAATATCAAGATAATGAGACTGTGTAAGAAGCTCAGTGAGTGATGACTAGAATCTTTTCTGATAATAAGAGTAGTGAGTAAGCAGGCATATGAGTTGAAATTACTCACAGAATTGAAATCAATTCATTCTGTTTTTCATATTTTCTATTTAGAGCTCTATAAGCAATGTCTTGAGACAGAGCTGCCTCAGCTGAATAATATCAAGATTGAGAATGATACTGAATATCTTGTGAAGAAAATATTGAATAAGTGAATATATTACAGCAAGCTTTAATATCTCATCAAATGAAAAGAATATTCATCATCAGAGAATTCATGAGAATCACTTAAGCATTTGAAAAATGCTGAGAAAGAGATTACAATCTATAAGACAGCTAGTAGAGACTGCTCTATTACATGTCAGAGATATTAAGTAAGAAACATTACTTAAGACTTCTCATTTTTTTCAAAGAGTTTTTTAGAGATAATCTCATAATGATGAGTCAGTGTCTTATAGACTTTATAGCACTCTTCTTCTATTTTCTCTCAAAGAGTTTTTTAGAAGTTTAATGAGACTACACAAGTGTAAAATTCCTGAAGCAGTTAATAAGAAAAGAAAGAAATATTTGAAATCAATAAAAAGATTAATATTAATCAATCTGCAGACTGCTGCTAATCTAATGAGACTGCAGCTCACTGAAAAAGTAAAAAGAGAGAATCTCAGAGTCTACTTATCAACAATTACATTCTCATCAAACTCATTCTTCATCATTGAAGTCTTCAGCATCAGCATCTTTATCTGTTAAGAAGTTAGTACTGCAGCATCACAGAGAAGCATGCTATAGAAGAGTATAAGAGATACTGAAAGTATCAACTTATTAACTTACAAAACATCTCAGTCATCTGCTTCAACTGAAGCAAGATTCTCTTTAATCAGTAATTAGTCTCTGTAGTACTTTTAACAGTGATGCTGACTGATCTCTTCTTGAGATCAGCTATTCTGAGATGTTTTTTCATCTTAGAGATTCATACTTTCATCTTCTTTTACAGATAAGCAAGAGAGATCTTCTCAGTCTTAACAGAATCTGTCAATACTTAAAGCTCTGAGACTCTTGCTCTGTACTGCTTAGGCATCTAGACTTCTTATCAGAGCTGATATAACATCTTTCTATGAAGTAATACTTACAGAGAGACAGAAGTTATTGTTACAGATATAACAGAAATAACAGAAGTGAGAGAAGAGATAAGTGTATAAAATCCTCTTCTTCTTCAGCTGTTTAACACAGTGCAGATAAGTAGTGATATCAGCTAGAGACTGTATCAGAGCCTTCTCATAGAGAGAAGATGAAGAAACTGTGGAATTCTGCAGACTCAATTCAGCAGCATTCTGAGCAGGGCTCAGGCATGCTGCAGAAGAGAAACTACAGATTGAGCTTCTCAGAGTCACTGTCTCTGAAACCAAGCTCTTTCCAGGTTCCTCTCTGAATGATCACACGGGGTCATATGCCACTGTATTGACTGAGAGGGAGAGTGGTGTCACAACAGTGATGAGAGGAGCAGAGAACAGAATGAATACAGACACACCAGCCGGCAGAAGAAATGACACCTCACTGCAAGGCACAGCAACTACCACCACAGCTGTGAGAGAAGCAGAAGAAGGTGTGACAATGGGAGTGATGCTCCCGCGGCTCATTGACACTATCTCCACCTTCAACCTGGCTTTCTTAACAGTCACAGAGGCCGCTGCTGCATCACAAAGACATTTACTCACTAGAAAACATCAGAATAAGCCCTCTACTGTTCTTCAAGAATGATACTCTCATACACTTACTATTACAGAAGAGGGGGGAGAGAGAAGAATGTTTCACAGAGAGAGAGATCTTTTCAAAAAATCCTGTCACTACTATCAGCTTTGTCTCTAAAACACATCACTTTTGCAGAGAATTTCATATATAGAATAGAATATAATGAGAGATCTGCAAGTCACTTGTTAACTACATTTTTCTCATCTCAAATTGATATATAAGGAACTCACTTATCATGTGTTTAATTTGAATGAAGATGAAAAAAGAAAGATCTACACAGTCAGCAGAATAACTCATCTATTTCTTTATATCACACACAGCATATACACTGTCAATTGATTGATAATCATTGCTATATAACAAAGATAATTTCTAATCTAGTAATCTTGAGAGTATAGAGACTATGCTCTTAAGAGAAAGAGTATTATCACACTTCTGACTGTGTCAAGACTCTGTTACAGTTTCACACAGCTCATTACTTTCATGTGAATGATTTCATTTCATCTGAACTGGTTTTCAATCACTCTATGACATTATTTGAATATATCATAGAAAGATCTGATTAATGAATATGAGAACCTCACTTCTATATGAGATCAGCAGATTACTCTTTCTTGACAATGAGACACTACTGAGATATCACTTCAGTTATTCTCACTCATGAAATGAGAGAAGAGTATTCACTCATTGTCTATATAGAATAGCTAGATGCTGACTTCTCATTAAAGAAGTCAGTGATTTGTTTTACTTCTACTGAAATATACACAAGAGTTACTGCATGTCTCATACAATCTTCTTAGTATACTAAGTATCATATCTGTGATATCCTCACAATAACTCTGTAGCCTACAAGCTCACTATTCAAGCAAGATAGTCAAGCTCACTCATACAACTTCTCAAACAACTACCTCTACATGTCGCCGCTAACTAGCCACTGCTTCGGTTCCGCTATGTTACAGTAGTTATCTATCTGTGTAAACATTCAATCTTCTGTTACAGGTCTAAGATCTGATTTTCTCTATTCTTATTAATAATGATGATTATATTGATGAAGCTCTTCATAGTGAATTCTTGATCTGCAGTGAATGTTAATTGTTGTTTAACTTCTATCTCAGCCTGTCACTGTGTACACAAGACCTCAATCTCATTTAGAATTCTCATATATATACAGAGCTTCAATTTCAGTTTAGTAGTTTCAGTCACTTTTCTTACTACTTTAAGTAAATTCTCTGAGAGGTTCTACATATCTTTCAGTTCAGATAGCAGAGAAGAGTGTTATTTGTATTAGCTAGAGAAGATATTTATTTCAGTGATTTTCTCATTAATTGTATAATGTCTATTGTTATATCACTGTATTATTATATCACTATATCATTCTATCACTATATCATTATATAATTTCTATTATCATTGTATAACTTCAGTGATGATCACTCTCTCTTTTATTCTTCTTTTAAGTAGAGAGTGAACTTCTTTGAATCTGATTCACTACTTTTATTTTCTTTCTCACATCTCATTTATTCATGTCTCATATGTGACATTCACCTGAATGTGAAGTTTTCTCTCAACAAGTAAAGCAGTATCAATCAGATGCTCTTTCACTTATCACTCTTCATATGCTATCTTTTGAGATATTCTAGAATCACACTGACATAATAACTATGAATTGCTTCATAGGCAGAATTATCACACTCTGAAGAAGTCTGTGCTTCTCACTGGTTTTCAGACATGCTATCAGATGTGATTCAAAGGTTTCTTAAGTCAGTGTACAATTACAGGCATACGCCAGCTTCTTATATATTGAATCTCATACACTAAATTAATTAGTGGCCGCTAGGGCCCTCTTTACATTTGTACGCTAGTAGTTCGGAAGCGGCCGCGTTATTATCCGACGGTCGTACGTTCTTCCGAACCACACACTCATTGTCTATATAGAATAACTAGATGCTGACTTCTTATTAAAGAAGTCAGTGATTCATCTTTTTCTTTTACAGAAATATATACAAGAGTTACTGTGTATCTTATACAATCTTCTTAGTATACTAAGTATTATATCTGTGATATTCTTGCAATAACTCTGTAGCCTACAAGCTCACTATTCAAGCAAAATAGTCAAGCTCATTTATACAGCTTCTTAAACAACTATCTCTACATGATGCCGCTGACTAGTCACTGCTTCGGTTTCATCACATTACATAACTATACTAAAACAAGAAGTGTAGCAAAACTTTCAGTCTTAGAATATAAGTTTCAGAATGAATCATATACAGCAAACTCTTTCAAGAAAAAATATCAAGCTTTCATGAGAATTCTCTTTCAGAACTCATCAGATTCAGATTCAAATTCAGAGAAAGAGAATATATCACTTCTTAACTATATTAATGAAAATAACTGAGAATGATCTGATCTTACACAAGATGAATTAGAGTCAGCTATCTTCTTAAGTTCTATTAAAACTGCTGCAGATTCTGATTCAATTAATCACTTAATTATTCAAAATATATATTCCTACTTAAAGAATGAATATTTTGAGCTCTTTTTCAATCTCTTGAAAAATGAATATCATTCTGAATGCTGAAGAGAAGCCACTGAAGTGATTCTTACAAAACCTAATAGAAAAATTTCAATTCCTAAGTCATATAGAGTAATATCTCTATTGAACTGCCTAGAAAAGGTTTTAGAAAAGATAATAGCTACTTAACTATCTTTTATAAGCTCTATAGATAATTCTCTTTTATTTAGTGAATAAATGAGAGATAGAAAACAGTGTTCTGCAATTGACACTGTTCTCTCAGTTGTTCATGATATTCAAATAACAAAGTATGAGAATCTGGTCTCAACTGCAGTTTTTATTGATATAAAAGAAGCATTTAATCATGTTTCAAAGTCAAAGTTAATTCAGATATTGAAGATATTAAAACTGTCACTTTCTCTAATAAAATGAGTTAACTATTTTATATCTAAAAGAAGTATACAACTCTTCTTTGATGAAATGAAATAAGACAAGACTGAGATAAAAATAGAAGTATCACAGAAATCTTTAATCTCACTTATTTTATTTGCAATATACACTGCATATCTATTCAAAAATAGAAATATGAGAATAGTGTGATCTCTAAGTTATATGGATGATATTGATCTAGTCTACAGCTTAAAAACTATCAAAGAGAATTTGAAAGTAATTGAAGAAGCTGCAAAGAAAATCTTTGTTAGAGTAGATATCAATCAAATTCAATTTAATATGAATAAAACTGAGTTAATTCATTTCTTTTCTAGATTCAATGAGAAAGAACTATCTCTAACTCTTTTAAATAGAGAGATTAAACCCAGTGTAAATATCAAATACTTAGAAGTATAATTAAACTCTAAGTTGAATTTTAAATATCACATTCAACAAAGAACTGTCAAGGCAGAAAGACTATTGAACAACATAATCAGACTATCAAATACAGAGAGAGGTCTATTCTTCCAGGCTATGAGACAGTTATATATAGCCTGTATTATATCAGTAGCTGATTATAAAGTTCAAGTTTGATAAAATAATCAAGGAAATTTCACTGAACTCTTTCAAAGTCTGTAAAACAGAGTCTTGAGAAGAATTCTGAGAGCATTTAAATCATCTCATATTAAAGCAATGAAAATTGAAGCTTCAATTGCTTCTTCTGCTATTAGATTTGAAAAGACCTGTATGAACTATACTCTGAGAGTTATAAAGATAAGCTTAAATTATATAATCAGAGAAAGAGTCTCTTCTTCATTTCTATCAATTAGCTCTGAAAATGAACTGAATTGAAATAGATTTCTTGATTGAAATTAAAATAATTCTTCAAAGAAAATGTCTTCTCAACTGTACAGACTATGCTCTCTGATTAAAAATCAATTTTCTTCTTTAAATATTGAAAAAGTTAATCATGAGAAGTTATCTCTCTGAAGAGAAAAGCTTGAATCTCTTATAAACTTATAAATAAGTGAACTATCAAAAGAGAAAGAATATGAACAGCATTTAAAGAGAATTTCTACAATCAATATAAAAGACTCTATTCTGATTTATTCAGATGACTTAAAAAATGAGAATTTGAATAGATTAAATACAGACATTGCTTATACTGAAGAAAATATCAGTTTTTATCTTAGATTTCTGAAATCTAGACTGTGAATCTGAGGTCTTTGATGCTGAACTATTTGTAATAGTAAAAGCTTTCAAACTCATAGAAATAAAATCTTATAAAAGAGAAAATAGTTTGAAAGAGATATAAATATTCTCTGATAGTCAAGCTGCTTTAAAAAGACTTAAAAATAGTCAGATTTATAATAATTAAATGAATCTTGAACTGATCTTAAACTCTGTTTTAAAAATTTAAAAGAGAAGAATATCAAAGCTGAGAATTCATCTACACTAAGTTTCTACTTATATGAATATTCATGATAATAAATTAACTGATTCAGCTGTAAAAAAGAATGCAGAATTAAGCAGATCTATTCAAAAAATTATGTTCTGATCTTTTATAAAGAGAAAAATAAAAGAATCTTGTTTAGATAAGTGAAATGAAAGCTGATAGAAACAAAAAAAGAGTATACATTATTCAAGATTTGAAACAAAGCCTAAGTGGAAATCTTGTTCAATTAAATGTAAAAAGAAAATATTCTCATCTATAATACAGCTGAAACTAGAACATGGCTATTTCAAATCTTATATACAAAGATTTGATGATAGATTTGACTCAATAGAATGCTCATTCTGCAATGCAAATGAGAATCCTGAGTATATTGTAATGCACAATATGATCTAGTATACTGCTGCTATCCATCCTGGTAAAGCTAGTCTTCGTCCTCTAACAGTCTGTGCTTCATTGATTGATTTATTCGTCTCAGCCGCTCTCAGGCAGCTATGTAGTGCACTACTATATACTCTTCTCCTTGGAAATTCAGTTATTCTTGCTAGAAACTTCCAGTTGAGAGTCCGGTTATTTCACCCACACCAACCAAATCACGGCTTGGTGTCCTGCTGGTCCGGACCGCGACGGGCGTAGCTACCAAACTGGACAATAAATGGGACGGAATGGAAAATCAGTAGGGGAGACCTCGATGCGATCCTAGACTTCGCTGAGAGTTCGGAAAGATTCCAAGGGACAGACAACTAGAGTAGATCACCCACAGGCCCTGACGAGGCATTAAGATCGTCCATGTAATTAGACTAGAAAGGATAGATGAGAGTAGCTGTAATAGTGGTAGCCTGCATATCCCGATGAGGGAGAGGTCAGGATAGCTGATTCAATCAATCAATCAATCAATCAAGGGCACGGGCTTTTGATGGGACCGACTTTGCGTGCTCCTAGCAACACTCAATGGAGTGACTAGAAGAGGGAAAACATATACTGGACCAGTTGGCAAGGGCCATCATTTTCGTAAGAACAGGCCATGACATTCTAAAGAATAGGGGATATTTCCTCTAAGAATGACATCTGGCATGACTAGGGATATCTAGACGGTTCTCTACCTATGACGTCATTCACGGCCCACCTTTTGGCGGTTAAAGCTTAGCAAGCCCCAGCGCTGGATACGACTGGCAATGTACTTTTGCATTTTCACCTTTTGGTGTTTTGTGCAATTTGGTCAGCATACATGATTTGACAGTCATCGGGCGCCGCCAGCACCGGGAGGCTGACAATGTCTGGCATTTTTCTTCACTTTGGGGAGAAATTTCTTCTCAAGCGCCGCGTCCTACCCGCCAACTAAAATTAACAACGACTCCTGTTCAACCCCACAGAATACAGCACAGACACCCATTCGATAATAAATTGATAATACTATTTTCCGACTGGACGATGCTTTTGGCCTTGCAGGATGAAGGTCTGCTCAAATCCCGGCCCCATTTCTGTCCTTTGAAGCCTATCACTCGAGAAATTGCCTCTTAAGGGTTGTATGAAACTGGGTATTTCCCGCAATGTCTTATCCATCGATCCCTTGATTGGAAGATGGGAGCTGGATATTCAGTGTTCGGCGCGTCCTGGAACTGCGTGGCCCCTTGCCCTCAACACCTCAACTCTGGCCAATTTTTCGAAATGATATGAATGGTGTGACCAGTTATATTCTTCTCCGGATTGAGAACTACTAGTCAACCTTGAGTGTATCCCGGGCGGCTAATTGCAGTTCGCTTTCTTTAGGGAGTCTCATGCTGGCCAATATGTGCTTCTGGTTCAGTGCTGCCGCTCTCTCTTCTGAAAAAAGCATGCAGAGCTTTCCTGTTCTAATTTTATTATAATGGATGTTAAGGGCGCCAATTTCTCCCTTACTCTAAGCTCTCTCACTTCTCATCCTCACCGCCAACAATGTCATGGCTTGGATATAAAGGGTGCTCATTTCCTGCCAGAGATGAGCTTCTTTAGATACAGAAACAACGCGCTCAATATTCAGATTTCTAGTTTCTTAGACTTTGACTTTCCTCTTTTCCAGCAATCACTTTTGCATCTTCTTTGTCTTTTAATTATATCTTTCTTTTACTACTAACTACTAAGAGTGCTTCCTTTCACTCAATGAAAATTCTCATTTCATCAAAATGATCATGACAAATTATCTCTCTCTATCTATCCTCAATGAACTTGTGTGATTCACTGAGGAGAATGCATTGTATGAAGATTCAATTAAGACAATGATATCAGGTATTCTCAACTATTATTTTCCAGCAATAAATGATTTTACAGTTGCCTCAGAGCAAAACTGACAGAGGAATATCACAGATTTTATCATTCCTCAGTGACTGCAGTGTTGTCAATCACACTGTAGCTGAAGTCAAAAGAGATACTGACTTCATCACAGCTGCATTGAAGCAGCTTGAGAATGCCCTTGAACAAGTCAATACTGAATTTGACAGGTGCTGGGCAATGCTGATTCATGGGTGCAACTTTCAATTTTTTGAGTATCACATTCACCTGCCTGCGGGTGAACAGCTTATCCCATGGGATCCTCTCAATCAACCTTCACAGAATTTGTTCCATGCTCGAAATGATAGTGTAACTATCGACTGGATGCTGCGTCATATGGGACAAAACAACACTCCACCAGCACGCTAGTGGCTGCTCACGCTACCATGGAGATATCACAACGATGGGTATAGGAGGCTTGTTGAAATGCAACATTGGTGAAGGGGTATTGGAGGCAGATGACTTTGTATTTGCTTGTTTGCTAGTAGCTGATTATGCATATTCAAGAATATCTCATCTCAGGGGAATATCATGAATCATCCAACCCGTATGCTACACCGGCAAATGCGCCATTAAAGCGAATTGTAAAATTAATCAAGCGAGGTGGAATGGGGACAAGGTTTCCAAGCAATCGCAGTTCTGGGCAAAGATGAGAAGGCTTCCAGAACCGAATGCGGAGTACCTTGGGAGAACCAGCAACTGAAACTTCACAGTCTTCACCAGAAAACCGCCGGGTTATGTGATTGATGCCTCCAGGAACGAGTTCTGTGCAAAGCTTACCGTTTTTGCAATCAAAACAAATAACCTGAGAATCTGCCTGCGGTTCAGATCTCACACCGGCACATTCAGTGTGTCTACAGGCATAACAGGACGGGCAATAGACCCAGTTCTCGCGAAGTCTATTCTTCTTCCCACAGCAGGGCACGGAGTGCTTAAAACTTCGTAGCGTAAAATGTTGAATCTGCGGAATTGATGAGTAATACCGCTCTTGAAAAATAAAGGAAGATTGTGACAGTGTCAATGCGCCCTTGGGACTGCAAGATCCGAGGATCAGATCCAAAGTTTCTGGTGGCAAACCAACTCCGAGGTGTTCCCTGTGGGCAAGTGATGGTTTCCAGCACCACGAACTCAGAACGTAGCTCAATAATCGAAACCCTGGGGAACAATGCCGAGCCGACGTGTTGACAAAGAGGGGAAGAATCTGAGAGCACAAAACAGACTTGGATGAGACCTCAACAAATGCAACATGTCGAAGTGATAAAATAATTAAATGGGCGGCATCCTTGTGGGAAACCTCAAGGAAGGATTGAGCCTTGGAGATAGCTGCCAAGATCGAGCTTTTTGTATTGATATTTCCATGAAGCACAACAAGGTATCCGTGGAACCAGAAAATATCTGTTTGGGGCGCGTCCCAGTAAGGAAAATTTACCCTATTTTCCGGATAATGAATTTGAGAGTCGGATGATACTTCAAGATCCCATGCTGCAATACGCAGAAGGCCAATGGCAATTGTGTTAAATGCCATAGAGGGATATCGCCAAGTCATTGGATCGTCAATGAAAAATCGCCATATAAAACAGAAGTCGCGGAAAATCCTGAATTGTAGCTCATTCAGTGTTGTGGGTGGCCCAGGATGAATAAGAAGTTGATTCGGTACGACTTGTGGCGTCGAAGGCTCTCCTCCGTCCTCGGGCTCTGATATCTCACCCGGAACCGGAGTTAATGAATCCAGCGTCAAGCCATGAGATCCATCCAGACAAGATAGCGGTATCTGGCGCGGAAAAGGCTGAAGCAAGCCATTGAGGCTCTCCCATCGTGTGATTGTTAAGGTTCCCGCGTCGACATCGATCGTGTACACGTAGTCCAAATTCGACTGTAGCGGACTGGGAAAGGAAACTGACTCCCATTCCTCCAAGTTATCGAGTGAAGCTATGATAGACTTTATTCGCCGCACAGTTTCTGGCTCGTTTGGGGATCGGATACGGCTCCTTAGTTCGTGCAAGCGATACCATTTCCCTTTTGAGCGGTTTGTTAGTAAATAGCTATAAAGGCCGAGAAAATGGCTCGCGTACCGGCAGAACGTAAGTTCCATAGGCCTCTTGTCCCCATCTCTCTTATCAGTAAGAAAGCGAGCAAGATCGCTGTCGGCTTGGCGGTCCCTGGGTTGTCGCAGAACGTGACGAAGGAGTCTCGGAATATTAACAGATTGTCCTGTAAACAAGGACACCTAAACCGGAGGGCAGCTAAAACAAGGGGATACATAGAATAACTATCAAACTAGGAGAATGATTGAGGAGCATGTTGAATGAAGCAGGGTGGGAACCAGTAAGTTGTGTAAATGTATTATATATTGTACAAGCATCAAACGCTCGCTTACGCTCGCTTTGCTGCTTGCGCAGCCCCCCCTACCACTTCCACCCTCTACCCCCTACCCCCTCTTACCACCCTTTCCACGCCGTAGTCCCCCCTACCCCTTTATCACACACTGCTCTACGTCCTACCGCCCGCAGCCCCCTCTACCACTTCCACCCTACCCCCTCTTACCACCCCTTCCACCCTTTCCACCCCTTCCACCCCTTTCCACCGCCTCCACCCCTACCCCCTCTACCACCACCACCGCCCCTACCGCCCCGCAGCCCCCTCTACCACTTCCACCCTCTACCTCTACCCCTCTACCTCCCTCTTACCACCCTGACCACCCCTATCACCCTAACCACTCTCTTCCACCCTGTATCACCTCCATCACCATTATCAGATTAATCAGAGTTGTACAGGCTGCAGAGCCAGCTCTTCAATCTCATCTGAATTCAAAGAAGTGTGTATGACATCACATGAGATCATGTTACAGAGCATTTGACAAAATGAACATAGAGAAGAGTATAAGAAATGTAAGTACTATAGAGAATGTATGAAAGAAGCAGAATAAAAAAAGAATGAAGATTTAAAGATTGATCTGAGCTGTATAAGTCAGAGCATTCAAATATTTTTGATAGAATATACATGATGTCACATTACAGTATTTTTTACATGAAAAAGTTGGTTTTTCCATGTAATGTGGCGGAACCGAAGCAGTGACTAGTCAGCAGTGTCATGTAGAAGTAGTTGTTTGAGAAGCTGTATGAGTGAGCTTGACTATCTTGCTTAAATAGTGAGCTTGTAGACTACAGGGTTATTATAAGAATATCACAGATATAATACTTAGTATACTAAGAAGATTGTATAAGATATGCAGTAACTCTTATATATATTTTAGTAGAAGAAAAATGAATCACTAGTTTCTTTAATGAGAAGTCAGCATCTAGCTATTCTATATAGATAATGAGTAAATACTCTTCTCTCATTTCATGAGTGAGAATAGCCAGAGTAATATCTCAGTGATGTCTTATTGTTAAGAAAGAGTAATCTGCTAATCTTATATAAAAGCAGAGTTCTTATATTTATCAATCAGATCTTTCTATGATATATCTAAATAATATTATAGAGTGATTACAAATTAGTTCAGACAGAATGAAATTATCTATATGAAAGTAATAAGCTGTGTGAAACTGTAACAGAGTCTTAGTATAACTGAGAGTATAATAATACTCTTCTCTTTAAGAACATAGTCTCTATACTCTTAAGATTACTGAATTAGAAATTATCTTTGTTATATAGTAATAGTTATTAACTGATTGATAGCATATGTACTGTATATAATATAAAGAAATAGATAAGTTTTTCTACTGACTATATAGATCTTTCTTTCTCATCTTCATTTAAATTAAATATGTGATAAGTGAGTTTCTTATATATTAATTTGAAATGTGAAAAATATAGTTAATAAGTGACTTACAGATCTTTCAATATATTCTATTCTATATATGAAATTCTCTGCAAAAGTGATGTATTTTTAGAGACAAAGCTAACAGTAGTGACAGAATTTTTTAAAAAGATTCTCTCTCTCTGTGACACATTTTTCTCCTCTCTCTTCATCTGTAATAGTGAGTGCATGAGAGTATTATTATTGAGAGATAATAAGAAGCTTATTCTGATATTTTCTAGTAAGTAATAAATGTCTTTGTGGTGCAGCTGCAGCCTCTGTGACTGTTAAGAAAGCCAGGTTGAAGGCAGAGATAGTAGTGTCAATGAGCTGCAGAAGCACTGCTTTTATTATCATATCTTCTTCTTCTTCTACATCTCTTGCAGCCGCGGCAGTAGTAGCTGCACCTTGCAGTGAAGTGTCATCTCTTCTGTCAGTCAGTTCATCTATGTTCAGTTCATTCTCTGCTCTCTCTGTCACTGTTGTGACACTGTCTCTTCTCTCAATCAACACAGTGACATATGACTCTATGTGATTATTTGAAAAGAATTCTGAGAAGAGCTTGATTCTGAGAACAGTGACTCTGAGAAGCTCAATCTGTAGTTTCTCTCTCACAGCATATCTGAGTCCTGCTTGAAATACTACTAAGTTAAGTTTACAGAGTTCTGCAGTTTCTTTATCTTCTCTCTGTGAGAAGACTTCAGTGCAGTCTCTGATCAGTACTACTACTTATCTACACTGTGTTAAGCAGCTGAAGAAGAAGAGAATTTTATATACTTATCTCTTCTCTCACTTCTGTTATTTTTATTATATCTGTAATAATAACTTCTATCTCTCTATAAGTATTATCTCACAGAAAGATATTATATCAGCTCTGATAAGAAGTCTAGATACTTAAGCAGTATAGAGTGAGAGTCTCAGAGCTTTAAGTATTAACAGATTTTATCAAGACTGAAGAGATTTCTCTTACTTATCTATAAAAGAAGATAAAAGTATGAATCTTCAAGATGAAAAAACATCTCAGAATAACTAACTCTAAGAAGAAATTAGCTAATACTGCTATTAAAAGTGCTATAAAGATTAATCACTGATTAAAGAGAATCTCACTTCAGTTAAAATAGATAATCAAGATACTTTATAAGTTGATAAATTAATATTTTATATATTTCTTATACTCTTCTGCAGTGCTACAGTGCTAACTTCTTGACAGATAAAGATATCAGTACTGAAGACTTTAACAGTGAAGAATGAGTTTAATAAGAGTGTAATTATTAATAAGTAGACTCTGAGATTCTCTCTTTTTACTTTTTCAGTGAGCTACAGTCTTATTAGATTAGCAGCAGTCTGTGAGTTAATTAATATTAATCTTTTTATTAATTTTAAATATCTCTTTCTTTTCTTATTAATTACTTCAGAAATTTTATACTTATATAGTCTTATTAAACTTTTAAAAAATTCTTTAAGAGAAAATAGAAGAAGAGTGCTACAGAGTCTATAAGATATCAGCTTATCACTGTGAGATTATCTTTAAAAAACTCTTTAAGAAAAATAAGAAGTTTTTAAGTAGTATTTCTTACTTAATATCTCTGATATATAATAGAGTAGTCTCTACTAGTCATCTTATAGCTTACAATCTCTTTCTCAGTATTTTTCAAATATTTAAGCAGTTCTTATAAATTCTCTGATAATGAATAATCTTTTCATTTAATAAGATATTAAAGCTTACTGTAATATATTCACTTATTTAATATTTTCTTTATAAAATATTCAGTATCATTCTTAATCTCAATATTATTCAGTCAAGATGACTTCACTCTGAGATGTTACTTATAGAACTTTAAATAGAAAATATGAAAAATAGAATGAATTAATTTCAATTCTATGAGTAATTTTAACTCATATATCTGCTTATTTATCACTCTTATTACTGAGAAAGATTCTAGTCACTACTTACTGAGCTTTTTATACAGTCTTATTATCTTGATATTCTTTACTAAAAGTAGTACTTAATTCTCTATCAAGAACTTCATTGAAAGATATTTTCAATTATAGTATTTCATCTATTACTTCTGAATATAGTAGATACTTTTTACTGTCTTCTTATAAATTTTATTCAAAAGTTTCAATCTCACTTTTACTTCTGATACTGAGAAATACTTCATTCTCTGTATCTATTTAATATTCTGACTGTTTATCTCTCTCTTTGAAATATCATTCATAATGTCACTGAGTAATGAAGAATTATATTTATAATAAGTATAGAAAGAAGATATCTTTAAGATTACATTCTTTACATTATTATATATGAATTCAGTGATTAGAAGATGTTTAAGCTAATCATTCTGATAATATAAATAGAATACTTAAAGATGCTGTTCTAGTGTCTGATTCTGATATTCAGTCTGATTATCTGTCTGCAGATGAAATGCAGTACTGAGAAGATATCTTATTATAAAATGATAGTAAAAAGTCAATCAGTATTTGCTGATGAAGAGAGATTCTTGATCTGTTATTAACAATTTCAGAGCACTGTGATTATAAATAATAATATCTAAAAACAGATCAGTTAATTCAGAGGCTTTAATCTTTTTATAAGTAGAAATATATCTGATCATCTTCATGAAGCAGTTAACAATGATTAAAATTAAGTCATATTCTTTGAGTCTTGTTAACTTCAGTAGATTAACTATGAAATTCATCAATAGATTCTATTATAAACTCTTTAAAATAGACAGTGATGTTAACTTACTGTATTACTTATACTGTGAGATCTTTATTCTTTAACAGATATTATAAGTTTTAATATACTCTTTGACATCTGTTCAGAGCTTGTCTTAAGTATATTTATATTTTAGAAGCTTCTCAGTCTTCTCTAACTCAAAGTGCTCTGTATGAGAATTATTATAATAAATTCTCAATAACTTCTAACACACTGTTCTGCTATGAGAGATGAAGACTGAATTATTCAGTAGTAGAAGTTCATATTCTTCTACTTATCAGTGACTTAGTTTCTTAGCAGTATCACTTCACTCAGAGTCTGTCTCTTTCAAGTTCAAATCAGATTCTTTCTTATTCAACTTCTGAATTCAAGCTGTAGTAGAGACATCTCTCTTCTATAACTCATTAATGAATTTCAAAAGTAGTTGAGTTAAAAGATTGTAGACTGTTTCATTCTTTGTCAATTCAATGATTGTAAGATATGATATGAGAAGCTTATAATCTTCAGTGTCAGTTCTCTGCAGAGACTCAGATTTTCTTTCATCTTCTATATTGAGTTATACAGCTGTCTCTTCAGTGCTGTTCTCAAGCT